ACAAAGACTCTGATCCTTTATAGCCACCTTGGTCAGCTCAGAAAGAAGCTTATCTCACAGGGTCACAGAGACCCAGGTGTGGATCTGAAAACTGTGTGCCTGCTGGGTTGGTACTTGCTATATGCAGCTGCCAAAGTAACTTTCCTGATCATGCCTTCTTGGTTGTGTGTGCTCCCATCCCACGTAAGGCCTTTTGGCACCAAATGCCCAAGACCACACCTTGGCAAGCTACCAGCCTCTACATTTCTTACTGTCTGTCTGTCTGTCTGTCTGTCTGTCTCTCTCTCTCTCACACACACACACACAGACACACACACACAAATCACTGGAAAGAGAGCCAACATTGTAGCTCATATCTGTAATCTCAGCACAGGAGGCTGAGGCAGAATTGCCAAGAGCTCAAACTAGCCTGACTACATAGATTCTGTTCCAAAAAAACAAAGTAAGAAAGACTAATACAAACTTTATATCGATCCTCTCTTAACAGTCACCTACACATTCTCCAAGGTTCCATGCCAGGAACTCCACAAAGCTCTCCCAGAATCTTAGCTAGAGATGGCTTCTCTCCATCTCAGGGATCCTGGGAGAGGGGCTGCCTGCTCCCTTAAGCCCTTAATTCAGGTGAGGATATTCGCTGTTGCAGAGGATGCAGGTAAGAGCAGACTGGACAGGGTACTCCATCCCAGAGGGATGGAAAGGGAACTACTAGGTCAGCTTGAACTGGAGGAGGGCAGGCAGCACTAGTGAGCCACAGAAGAGGTAATGCTGAACAGAGCCAATAGCAATAAACAGGACAATGGGGGTGTGGGAAGGCAGGCTGTGTGGTGTACAGTCTGGCAGGCAGCCCTATGTAGGGGGAGCTGCAGGGAACTGACTGGAGCTGAGGTGAACAGCAGCTGGTAGAGAGGGCCTCTAGAAGGCAGGCAAACAGGACGACGAGTGCAGACCACCAAGGCAGCTACTACAAAGTGAGAAAACTCCTTTCTTGTTGGTCCAATCATAGGGTCACCCCTGTGTGACTGTGACTGGCTGCCCCAGGGCTCACAACTGCCATCTGGTGTCCTTCCCACCCTTATGTGTGACGTCTCTTGGAGAACAGTAGTCCTTTCCTGTTCTCCCCAGGAGCCAGAAGCAAGGCAACACACTGGACCACTGGAGCGGACAGACATATACTCACGTTGGCCTTCTGCTTCTCCGCCTGTAGCTGGGCATCGATCTCCTCAGGGCTTGTATACTGCCTCACTCGGCCTTTGTGGCCTCCCTTTCTACCTGCACAAAGATCAGTAGTTTAGGAAAGTGAGAGACAAGTCAGCCTTCACTAAACTGACCCCCCAAAAGGCTGTCCTGTTTAGCCCAAGGGAACCTCAGCTACCTTCACCAAGTACCACCTAAACCTACAATCATCTCAAAGGACAAATGCAGTGGCTTGAGACACCTCATGCACAGACTGCCAGATGTAGGTTCCTAAGAACAAGACCTGAGGTGAGGAGAGGGAGATACAGTCTGACTGAATCTTGTTTTCTTAAAATCCAAATATAGCTGGGCATAATAGTTGTACATCTTTAGTCCCAGCATTTGAGACTGCAGAGGCTGGCAAGATATGATCTCTTGAATTCCAGGTCAGCCTGGTCTACATATGGAAGATAGAGCAAGACCATGTCACAAACAAACAAACAAACAAACAAACTCCTAATAGTGTTCTCAGGTACAAAAAGGGAAGCATGAAACCTAGATGCTTCTTCTGGCACGACAATGCTTTTTCCTTTTAAGACTTTGTCATGGTCTCATTTGATCCTTAAGACAAAGGCAGAGCATAAGAGGCTTTGTATCACATGCCACTGCTGGCTTTGTATCACAGACAAGGAGACAACGTCGATATGTAAAAGAGGAAGAATTCTGAAGTCTAAGGCTCTGGGCTCCAAAACCAGTTGTACTATTTCCTCCATCCGAGGCTGTGTGAGGCTGTGTGTACCTTCCCAGAGCCTCAGTTTCCTTTTTTCCCATAAGACTGCCATGGAAGTAAGTTGGATACCATTCCAAAAGCAACTGGAATTATGCATGGCATTGGATAAGCACAAAAAAATTTCTGTTAATCTGTCCTAACACACTGGTTGGTAGTAAAATGTAAGTCAGCACTGGCTCTGTAAGCACACTGTTGCCAATGGCAACAGAAAGAACACAATACTTCATGCTTATCTTGGTGATATGGAAGAGAATACTTATAGGCTAAAAGCCCTAAACCTACCGACAGAAACTCTGTATTCAGAATTAAAGTAGCAAATAGGGCTGGAGAAGCCGCTCAGCAGTTAGGAACATTTGCTGTTCTTTCAGATAGCCTAGTTGGTTCCCAGCACCTACAGGGCAGCTCCAAATCATGTTACCCCAGTTCCTGGGTGACCTAATGCCCTCTCCTGCCCTCTGTGGGCACTGCACAGACATGCTGTGCTTATATACATGCGGACAAAAAACAAAACAAACACACACATACAAATCTCACATAAAAAATATTAAAGTATAGACCCAACAGCAGTCTAACACTGATCAGGACTGTCAGAGACAATTCATCTAAGAGGATCAGTTTCATACCCTGAGGTTCTAGACACAACACTAGACCAATTCCTGCTAAAGCTAGTCTTAGAGCTGTGTCTTGATGCAGGTTTGGCTGTGGCCTCTATTACCAAACAGGACCTTTCTTCATTTCTGCAGACCCCTTGCTGTGAGTAGAGAACCTATGATTAGACAACTAGAACTGCTCCAAGCTCTGGAGACCACTGCAGAGACAGTGACTTCCTAGACAGCAGCTGCAGAGCTGTAATTGGGCTGCCAACAGCCTACACCACCCATTTTTAATGACTACCTGAGTTCCCAGGGGTATCTAGGTATGCTCATGAAAGACCCATTGTGAGATACCAAGCTTTAGCATTCAAAACAAAACAAAACAAAAACCCCAACCAACCAAACAGAAAAGCAACACCCTTTCTTGACCTCTTAATATTGTTGTGGTAATGATCAAAGTTGGTTGTGGTAATGATCAAAGTTGGTTATCACATTCCCTACACTAGTCTATGGAATACCTCCAGGTTGTGGTAATGATCAAAGTTGGTTATCACATTCCCTACACTAGTCTATGGAATACTGACCTTAGTTTGGTTTATACAGGCTCTTTCAAGACTCTTAAAAAATTTACAGTATAACGAAAACAGAATTGGTCCTTTGCTCCCGAGGAATTTTTTTAAAATAGTTTTTAAATCATTGTTTTCTCCTATTAGCTCAAGCAAGGAAACAAGCCTTGTCTGCCCCTCAAAACTTCTCAGAAATCAAGACAAAGTCAATTAGCTATGACTTCATTTTTAGGACTGTCAAACTGTAATTCCCAACCTTGGAGTCAGGAGCTGAAAAAGTTCCTTTGCTTTTAAAAGATGAGACTGAGGAACAAAAGACAGTGCTCTTCCAGACACAGGATAAATCAGCAGAAAACTAGGTTTAGACGCACTAGACCCTGTAAAGTCTAATATCTGAATATTGACAGGAAGCAATTTAAGCTTGAAAAAGCTCCAGGCAGATGTTCTGGTGGGCTGACTGCATTAACTGGCTTAACATGTGAACTGCCAACATTAACTGAACATCTGTTCTGTGCTGGGAGCTAGCCAGGCCCTTAGAGCGATTTATTCTATCATCGTATAACTCCTGACCTCCTGTCTCATACTCATCAAACCAAGCCTTATTAATATCCCTGTAGTTCAGATGAAGAAAACGAGTTAGAAGAAGTTAAAGTCTTGTTTGAGGCCACAGAACTAACACGTGATATTTTTGGTATTCAAACCCCTGATTCTAAGGGGGTAAAAACAATGTAAGATGGGAAACGCTGTCTTCTTGGTCTCTACACACAGTAGTAACTAAGAATTTAGGGGCTGCGGAGCACTGGACTGAGTACATGGGTTACCTAGTTTACGGCTCTCATCCTAACAAGAGGTAGATATAATCAACATCCCCCCTTTTGGAAACGACAAAACCGAGACACAAAGAAGTTAGGCGACCGGCTCAGAAGCACATCCTTAATGGCTACGGTACAAGGAAAGAGTCAAAGCCAGGTCCCACATCATCAAGTCGAGGTCTTATTATGAGGCAAGCGTGGTCGCATTTGAGCTCGACAGAAGCCACATTTTATGCTCGAAGCAGACAGGCCCCGCACCAGCGCGGGACGCGGTGACTCAGTCTCCGGCCAGCCAAATTGGAGGACAAACTTCAGACGCTCCCGAGGCTTGGAGGAGAGACACCTGGGTCACGCTTTCCTCCAGGACATGGACCCAGTACCCGTGAGTCTCCCCAAAATCCCCGACAGAGAAGCCCTCGACTACTACGGTCCTCAGCTTCCCAGTCAGGACAATTGAGCGTCGAGGCCCACGCATGGCTGGGAGGCGACGGGGATGGCCTCCTTCGGCGCGGATCTCTTAGAGGCCCCAGGCCCGCGGGCTGAGGGGACGGCGGTAGCCGGCCTATGGCCGCCGCTAGAGAAGCCACGAGAACCACGCGCGCCCACCCCCTCACCTCCTTTAGGCATCTCGGCTCCGGCGGCTGCAGCGGCGGCGGCGCCTCGAACTGACACCGGAACCGGAAATGCCTTTAGATCGACTTCTTCCGCCCGGCCTGGTCCCTCTCCGCCGCCGCTTCGAGGAACTGGGACCTCACTGAGGCCGGGCTGTTTTGAGAGGTGCCTGAATTCCAAGCCAGAACACGCGCTGCTAGGAATACGCGTTCCCCGGCGTCCCTTCCGAGGAAACACGTAGCTGTGCGGGCCACCCCCACAGGAAGTGAGAGGAAAAGGGCCGTACGGTTTCCGGAATTCTACAAAGGCAGCGCCGCGGACACCTAAGATGACGCAATCTCCGGGCGAGGTGGGCGGGGCCCCGCGAGGGCCTTATTCTGAAGAGTTTCTCACCGGAGCGGAAGCCGTCAATAAAGAAGCGGCGGCTTTAGATGCTTGAGTTTCCGGTGAGTGTTTCTCTGCTCGGTTCTCGAGTACTGTATCTTTGGCAATGGTTACGGCCAGGAGAGCTGTGTGAACTGCTTAAGCGACAGAAGCTGGAGTCTCCGATGACTTGGTGCCTTCATCGTTCTGCACAGGGGATGGTAAACGTGGGGCTCGCTCTGTGTATGTGTTTGCGTTTTCCCACGTCGTTTTCTCTTCCGGGACCGTTTTCTGTCTAAATACCGTTTTTTTTTCTCAGATGCTTCTCTTGAGGTTTATGCCACTGTCCCGTCCGTAACTTCGCTTTCGTTCACCTCTTTTCCCGAACTCTTCTAGGTCTGTAAACAGCCCAACACATCTTTCTCCTGATACGATTACCTCGTTTTATCTCTACCCGGATCCGAGAGTCTCTCGGGTTGAATCTTCCTAGGTCAGGGGAAAGTGATTCTCTAATTGGGCTGTGCGCTTTGGGAAGGGCTCAGATTCAATCTATCTCTGGAAAAACCGGAGCAAAGACACTGATGGGGAAGTCAAGAGCCTCTAATCTGTTAGACTCGACAGTTGTCAGCTATGTGACTCTGAGTCCACCTCTTAGAGTTTGATTCGTCATTTATTAAATTGTTAAGGAGGTGTATGTGTGTGGTGGTGGGGTTTTAAAGGGTCAGTCACCATACAGTGGATGGCACTGAATACATTTCTGAACAGATGAGTCGGTTATGCTTATAGGCTTCTCTTTACCAGCTAGAAAGCTTTATGCAATTTAAAATAAAAAGCGTTTCTATTTAGATTTTGACTGGCCTGCTTCGTTGTTCCAAAAAGAGAGATTTTGGCAGTTATTTAACATGCTAAATCTATTGCTTTTATTCTACAGATGAGACAGAAGACTGAAAAGTGATCTCCCCCAGAGTCACCGAATTATTGGTAAATCTGGACAAGAACACAGGCTTGTAACTTTGAAGACCAGGGATTTTTATATTATTCTTGTAGGAAAGAGACCCAAAGGTATTGTGCACTCTTTTCGTGTGTCTGTCTCTCTCTTTCTTTTAGGGCAAGGTCTCATGTAGTCTAGATTGGGCCCAAATTCACTATACCCTAAACTTGTCCTGAACTCTGATCCTTCTGGTGCCACCTTACAGATGTTTGGATCATACGTGTATCACCATTCCCATCTAGGGAAGCTAAGTAGCTGTTTTGGGCCTTCTGGAGAATGATCTACCATGGACATACATTTTTGGTTTGAGGAGGGGGGAAGGGTAGATAGCAAAGCATCCAGCAGAAATCAACTGGGGAAGCCATTTTAAGGCATCTAGCTGGAGTGCCCAGTAGAGTTCTGGCTATAAATATATAGATGTCTCAGACAAGGCTTTGAAGCAAAAGAACATTGTAAAAGTAGAGATGACACCGTCACTGTTGCTCACAGCATCCAGCAGAAGCTGGTTGAGGAAACTGAAGCAGTCTATTAGTGTTCCTGATTGAACTCTCTCTCCATGGCTGAGTTTCTCATGGCTGAAGTTCTAACAGTTCTGGCTTCTCTTTTCTACTGTAGATGCTTTTATATCATGAGATAAACAATAGATTACCTTCCAGCAGATATCAAGCAAGACCTCAAGTGTTTTGATTCTTGGGCTGTTTTGCCATTCTTATTCCTCCCTATTGTAGAGAGTGTGTTAGGGGAACAGCCCATGCCCAGAGGCTGGGGAGGATATTGAGACACCTGTTTGGTTCTGAAATAGGGGGCAGAGACAACACATGGTTACTCAAAGGTATAACATACATTACACTCTCTGAGTGACAGCTCGAGGAGCAGGGGAATGGCTGCCAAAGTCCTTTGACAGCCTGAGGCTCAGAAAGCAGTTGATCTTTTTGTAGATCTTTACAAGCTATCTTGCTGGGAAATGCCCAAAGTCAAAAGAAGCCGGAAAGCACCTCCAGATGGCTGGGAGTTGATTGAGCCAACTTTGGATGAACTAGATCAAAAGATGAGAGAAGGTGAGTGGGGTCCTCCTGCCTGGGTATGCTGGACAGTGTCAAGGCTCAGTGTCTCCAAGGATAGTAAGAAAAATGCTGAGTAGAGGCTTGTAGCAAACAAGGTTCATCAGCTCAGAGTGTTTGAAAGTTCTGAAGAGTAAGATAACATTAATGAGAATATTATCCCCCTCCCCAAAAAGGTTTGTTGTTGTTTCATTATTAATGTATTTGTGAAAGGTTGTATTTTACTTTGGGGGTGGGGATGGCATGTATGCATGTGAGTATAGGCACCTGGAGAAGCCAGAGGAGCGTGTGAGAACTCCTAAAGCTGGAGTTACAAGCAGTTGTAAGCCACCCTGACATGGCTGCTGGGAATAGCCCCATTATGAAGTCTTTGTATTCATGCCCTTTTTTATTTTTGAGACTCTAGCTTTGGCTGGCCTAGAATTCTGCTGCATATTCACATTCTTTTTGCAGGCCTTTTAAAGTCTTTATCTCATAGTCTTTGAACCATGTAGCAGTTTCTGCACCACAGCACCATGGTGATCGTGCGCTTTAGGAACCTTTACTTTACAGTCTGCTTGTCTTTGGAAATTTTATGATGATTGCGGTTATTGTGATAAAACACCAGACCAAAAGCAACATAGGGAAGGAAAGGTTTGTTTGGCTCACAGTCTATCATTGAGGGGCTGTCCAGGCAATACTAAGCATATCACCTCCAGTCAAAAGCAGAGAATGAAGCTGGAGAGATGGCTCAGTGGTTGAGAGCACTTATTGCTCTTACCAACACCTCTCTGACATCCACGGGCAGCCAGGTACACTAGTGCACATACATACATTTCGGCAAAACACTCACATACATAAAACAAAATATAAGAAACTTAAAAGTAGAGGTAGATGAACACATGCTGTTTGCTTAATACAGAAGTTCAGCCTCATACCTCCACATCATTCATAGTCAGAGTCAGTCAGTCTACCTCAGTCAGGCCAACATGACTTAGCTCATTCCTTGAGGGAGGCTCCCTTAGGTGATCCAGGTCCTGGCAAGATGGTAACTTTAAAAGCCATCTTACTGTATGACTACTTAAATTGGTATTTGTGTGTGGCAAGGAGGGTAGTACTACAAAGTTAGTGTGTAGGGATTAGAAAACAACTTACAGGAGTCAGTTTTCTTCACCATGTGGGTTCCAGGGATCAGACCTTAATCTGCTTTGGGAGCAAGCACCCTTACCCACTGATCTAGCCCATGGGCCCCCTGAAATATTTTTTTTTTAAATATATTTGAGTGTTTTGTCTCATGTGTACTATGTTTGTATCTAGTATTTACAAAGGCCAAAAGAGGGACACTGGATCCCTGGAACTGGAATTAGTTATGAGCTGCCACCTAAGTGCTGGGAATGGAACCTGGGTTCTCTGTTAGAACAGCCAGTGCTCTTAACCACTGAGTCGTCTCTTCAGCTCCCTTTGAATTTCTGTTTAAAACAATCTTTGGAATACTTGTTTAAAGTTAATCTGATCATTGCTATTATGAGGTCATACCTGCAGCAATAATTATTAAGCCAGTGTTAACTCAGCTTTCTCTTTTCTCAACTGATTGTGCTAGACCATCTCTGTGAAATGCCTGAAACTTATAGTCAAAGTTGCTGTGGGGCAAGAGTTTTTTTAACACAATTCTGAAAATAAAGGAAATTAGAGTGTGGAGTAAATGGAGAGTCTTCAACACTCTTTAATGGATTCCTAGACTCAGGGTAACTCTTAACTCCTTGGAGAATTGCCCGACATTTTCTCCTCTATTTTATATTCTGCTAGAAGGGCTGGAGGATTCCAGGTTCTTGTTAGCTCTTTTTCATCACTATCTACATGAATATAAAGTAGTCATAGCTGTAATTAAGGAAGCAAACATGCTACATCCTCTGCAGAATGATTAGCTCCAAAACACATACATGCTTTTTTCTCCCCAGCTGAAACTGAACCCCATGAGGGAAAGAGGAAAGTGGAGTCTCTATGGCCTATCTTCAGGATCCATCACCAGAAAACCCGCTATATCTTCGACCTCTTTTACAAGAGGAAAGCCATAAGCAGAGGTAATGTGACTGGCTGGATTCTTTGACCTTTAAAAACTGTTACTATGTGTGCGTGCATGTGCCATGGCTTCCATGTGAAGGTTGCAGGATAGCCTGCATGCAGGTTTTTGCCACGTGGGTCTGGGGGATCAATTTCAGGTTATTAGGCCTGTGTAGAAAGCAAAGCATTGGCCCCTGAGGCATTCTGCGTCTTTATTGGACTTGAGTGGCTTTCAGGATTTATACAGTAGTTCATAAAAACCTGGGTCTGGTGGCATGCACCTTTAATCTCAGCATTCAGGAGGTAGAGGCAGGTGGATCTCTTATGTGTTCGAGGCCAGCCTGGTCTACAGAGTTGAGTTCCAGGACAGCCAGGGCTACACAGAGAAACCCTTGTCTCGAAAAAACAGAAAAGGAGGAAGAGGAGGAAAGTAAAGGGAAGTTCAGATCTATACTTTCAGCACTTGGAAAGCAAAGGCAGGAAGACTGTAGGGAGTTCCAGCCAACCCTTGACTGTAATGTGAGATCCTGGCCCCAGAAATGAAAATTAAAGCAATGGTTTTCTTTGCAAATCCAAGCATCAGTTTTCTCACCACGGAAGATGAAGAAATCTGTGTGTTACTGCTGAAATAAGGTTACACTACGTAGCCCTGACTGGCATGGAACTTATATACAGACTGGCCTCGAACTCACAATGCTCTACCTGCGTCTGCTAATTTCTGGGATTACTGGCTTTTGTTGTTGTAGTTTGGTTTTTTGAGCCAGGGTTTATGAACTCATAGCTCTCCTGGAACTCAATTTATAGACCAGCCTGGCCTCGAACTCAAAGAGATTGTTCTGTCTCTGTCTCCCAAGTGCTGGGATCAAAGGCTTGTGCCACCATACTCAGCTTTTCTTTTTAGTCCATATTCTGATGTCTTGTCCCCAACTTTCTGTCAGAACTCTATGAATACTGCATTAAAGAAGGCTATGCAGACAAAAACCTGATTGCAAAGTGGAAGAAGCAGGGCTATGAGAATCTGTGCTGCCTGCGCTGCATTCAGACTCGAGACACCAACTTTGGCACCAACTGCATTTGCCGGGTTCCCAAGAGCAAGCTGGAAGTGGTAATGCCTGATGGGTGGATGGGGGCTATTTTCTGTTTAACACTTTGCCTTAGTTGACCACAGGGTTATTTTGGGAAGTAGTTTTGTCACTGGAACCCTGCTAGCCACCCTTCCCAAAGTGAGTCCTGCCCAAGGATCCTTTTGAGGTGGAATCTGGGGCTGGTCTCAGTACTGCTGGTGGGCAGATAACTGAAGCAGACCTCATTCCTTAGGGGGCAGTGATGGCAGCAGCTATGAGGTGATGGGAGGTTTGTGCTAGCGAGGCTAGTCGTCAGGTAACCTCTCCCTCTAGGCTCATGGGGACATTAATCTCCCGCGTGTCTTCTGCTAGAACTTTGTTCCAAAGCCAAGAGTGGTGGCTCAAGCCTTTAATCCCCGCACTTGGGAGATTAAGGCCAGCCTGAGCTAGTACTGGAGATCCTACTTCAAAAAGAAAAAATGGTTTTAAGGGTAGGCCAGGCACTCAACAGCAGTGCTGGTATACAGTAACTGGGCTCCAGTCTGGCTCCAGTCTCCAGACCCTTGAAATGGAGCACCAGTCTGAGGTAAGGACAGATGGGCCATCCATTCAGCTTGGCCTCAACTGTTTCCTCTTAGTTTTCATTGAGTGCAGATGCAGATGGCCTCAGCTCAGCAGGAAGCTCTGTCCTCTGTGCTAAGGGTGGGCTCTGTGTGGATGTGTTGAGCCATGGCTAGTGAGCAATAGCCGTTTCTCACAAAGCTCTTAGCCTGTGGTTTAGGTTTAACTGAGCTTCAGGGCCAGATTGTTACCTTAGTTGATAGAGGGCCCCTTAGAATGCATGAAGCCATAGAAGCCCTATGTTCCATCTTTAGTGCCCCATAGAGCCAGATGTGCAACTGTACATCTGTAATCCCAGCACTTAGCAGCTGTTGGCAGGACCAGAAAATTAGGGTCATCCTTTATGAGATGGTTTCTCAGTTAAAACAGGTCTAACAGAGCTTCACCAGAGAACTTTGTTTAGAATGGGCTCACGGTCTCCAGAAAAGGAGATAAATGCACATTGCTCCAGTCCCCCAGCCAGTCACTATGCCCCAATGGCCTTAAGAACTCTGGCTTTAGCCCTCTGGGCAGTGGCAGGCCCACCATTCTTTGTGGCAATCTTAGTGTCTTGTTATAGCAATCATACACAGACACTAACTTCACCCTGGTAGTAACTGTTTTCATTTCACAAAGGAGGTGAAATGTCCAAGTGGAACTGTCTAGTAGATGCTCTGCAAGAGAGTATCCCACTAGCACCCTGTTGAGCAGGTTCTTTTAGGAGTGTGCAGGCTGTAGCAGTGTATTCAGACGTTCCTTTTCTGTTACAGGGTCGCATCATCGAGTGCACACACTGTGGCTGCCGAGGTTGCTCTGGCTGACACCCTTGACTCCCCTGCATCCTGGACTTTGAACCTTGGGCTCATGCTTATTGGGCTACTGCCTCCTGAAGCAACTCTTCTCTGAGTGGTGCTCTGAGAAAAGACCCAGGGGAAGCATGAGCTCTACAGGTGACAGCTTTAGTGTTGACCAGCTGAAATCTGTAAAAATAAAACCTTTAGACCTCTTAGTGACATTCATTCTCTCAGAGCATCGAGCTGTGGAATGCAGGGAATGGACTTAGTCCTGGTATCTCTATGTCGTAGATGCTGTGTGACCATGATTATTTGTCAAGTATGTCTTGGCCTTTGGGACCTGCTATGATCTGGGCACCCTGAGTCCAGCATTTTTTACACCTATGCCTGTAAAATGCTATGGTGCCTCTGGAATATTCTTGGCTTCTAAAGTTGAAGGGACTCCTGGGCTCCACCAGCAATGTGAAGGCTGGGTACTTGTCATAGCAACGAATTCTGTCATCCATCCATAAGGCCTCCAGCACTGTCAGTGGTGTCTTGGTCCCCGACAGGCTTGTTCTGGAACTCCTGCCAAGGGTGGGGGGCTTCCTCTGCTGGCATCACTTGCAGCCACTTCTTGTAATAAGCGCGGAAGCCATCAATCTTCTCCAAGTAGGTGTTTTTTTCTTTGTACTGTAATTAGAGGTACACAGGACTGTGTCATTGTGAGTGACATATAGGAACAAAAGCTTCACTATGAAACCTGTCGCTTTGTACAGTGAATATAGACTATGCTAAGAAAGAGAATTTAGAAATGTTTTCAGCCAATCTAAATTACTGTATGTCACCCAAAGCTAACCCAAGACATGGCAGCTGGCCTCTGTTCTTTCTTCGAAACAACCAAATAATTTGACATTAGATTTATTGCTGTAAAAGGCCAGGTTCTAGAAAATCTGTTAATTGGGAGTAGGCCAGACCACCCTTTGCCTTACAGCCATCTAATATAAGAACACTACAGTGTCCCTAGCCCATGGAAGTCACCTTAGCCCCACAGATAGAACTGAGGCATCCCCTCAACCTTCTCACTATTCTTCTGACCTTGGATCACTGCAGAATCTCCTTGCAGGGAGGAGAGGTGTGATGAGTTTGAAATAATAGGGGCACCATGGGAAAAATTAGCCAAACACTGTTACAACACAATACTAAAAGTTTGAATTTAAAAAGGTTTAAGTGTGTTGTAAGCTGGGCATGGTGAAACATGCCGTTGTTCCCAACATGTGGATAGCAGAAACAGGCATATCTCTTTAAGTTGGAGGCCAGCCCACACTACAATGCAAGTTCCGAAATAGCCAGGGCTACACAGAGACCATGTCTAGGAAATAATAAAAAGATGAAATGTGCTGAAGAAATGGCTCAGTGGTAAAGAAATGGCTCATGAGGACGAGTTCAAACCCTAGTACCATGACTTCTGCTGTGCAGTCCCTGAGCTAGGGATACAGGACAGGAGACAGCAGGCTAGTCAACCGATGGGCTCCAGTGTCAGTGAGAAGTCCTGGCTCAGAAAAGTGCAGAGTGACAGAAGGCTTGAAGTGGTCTTAGGTCTTCGGTTGCACTAATACCCTTCTATGCACTAAGACTATGAAACCATCTATTAACAAGTCATTCACAACATGGATTTGAACATCTAGGGCTGGAGAGAGGACTTGGCAGCTAAGAGCCTTGAATGGGTTCCATTTCCATGCACCTAGAAGATGGGCAGAAAACCACCTATAACTTCAGTTTGAAGGGGTCAGGCCTCCATGGGTACTGCACACACATTGTACACAGACAAGCTAGATACCCATACATGCTGATGACATAGGCCTTTAATCTCAGCACTAGGGAGGCAGAGGCAGGTGGATGAATCTCTGAGTTCAAGGCCAGCCTGGTCTACAGAGTGAGTTCCAGAACAGTCAGGGCTACACAGAAACCCTGTCTCAACCCTCCCACCCACCTCCACTCCCCCGCCACCCCCCCCCCAAAAAAAAAAAACAGCTGGAGAGATGGCTCAGCAGTTAAGAACACTGACTGCTCTTCCAAACGTCCTGAGTTCAATTCCCAGCAACCACATGGTGGCTCACAGCCATCTGTAATGGGATCCAATGGCCTCTTCTGGTGTGTCTGAAGACAGTCACAGTGTACTCACATACATAAAATAAATATTTAAAAAAAAAAACCAAAAATCCCCCAAACACCCATACAGGTTTTTAAAAAGGCAACAAGAAAGTGACCTAAGACACTCAGACATGCCTGCCCTGCTGAGCCACTCATTCTTTCTCAGCAAGTGTCACACGTGGCAGCTGTTCCTGAGCACTGCCTCAGATGTGCTCTCACCATTCACTGTCTCCCTCCCATCTGGTGTAGTCATCTCGACCATAGCTACATCAGTGCTCTGGAGACAGCACAGGGCCTGACTCAATAGAGCCCCACACCAAAGGAGCCTGATGTCCTGGAAGGGGCAATACGTACAGTAGCCTTCATCAGACTGTATCACTTGCAATCCCACTACACAACCAGTCAAAGGCTGAGTACTGAGCAGCAATCAACACATAGCACTGGGAACCAGGGGAACAAGCATGCTCCCTCTCTAAGTCCAGGTGGTCCAGTGAAGACAAGAACCAAGTGTGAACACAGTAAACATGGTATCACAAGACTGGTATGTAGGGGAAGGGGAGGCAGATCTGAGAAGGGCTACTTAGACTGGACACAATGGTGCACACCTATAATCCCAGTCCTAGAGAGGTGTAGGCAGGAGAATCAGTAATTGGTCATGGCCAGCCTGAGTTACCTGCCACTGCTAATAAAAACAAAAAGAGGGGGCCGGGCGGTGGTGGCGCACCCCTTTAATTCCAGCACTTGGGAGGCAAAGGCAGGCAGAATTCTGAGTTCGAGAGTTTGAGGCTAGCCTGGTCTACAGAGTGAGTTCCAGGACAGCCAGGACTACACAGAGAAAACCTGTCTTGAAAAACCAAAAAAAAAAAAAAAAAAAAAAAAAGTGGGCTAAGAGAGATGGCTTATTAAGAGAACACACTGCTCTTCCAGAGGATCTGAATTTAGTTCCCTGCATCCACAACCAGACATACACCACAATCACCTGTTAGCTCCAGGGGAGTCAATGTGGCTCACGGGCTTGAGTTTCTCTTAAGAAAATTGTTGAACAACTTTCAGCAAGGAAATGAATGTCAAGACCCAAAGGTCAAAACCAGAGATGGCGGCAACTAAGGCAACAGTAAGCACTGACAGTAAGCTTGGTACACATACCCGGTCAAAGGTGGGAGGGTACTCGGCTGCAAACTCCAGCTGGCGGATGACCACTTCATTCACTGGGACGCTGTTCTGCCTCATGTCCTTCAGGATGTTGATGAGATAGGTGTAGTCCAGCTTCTTGAGGGCTGCGTTGATAAGGGTGCTGTAGATGTGGATATTAGGGGTCAACTGGGACTTCTAGAACATAAACATCATGAACATGGTCAGCAGGATGCTGGTGGCTGGTAGGACAAAGCAGTCGGCTATGGCAGGTCCACAGATAGGTCTGCTCCACAGACTAGGCACCAGAACAAGGAGGGGACTGTACACTAGCGTTCTAGTCCTCCACAGATGCAAAGCAAGTATGCCCTATTTGGGGAGAAAGACTGGTGCTCAGGGGTCAACAGACAGACAAGTACCTCCTCACTCCTGCCTGTGGTTTACTAGTTGACACTATCATCATCAGGTGCTGGTGAGCCTAGAACAGCCAACATTAGCTGGGTGATAGAATGTGTGGACATTACTTGGTCCTTAGAAGTGTCCACTGCTTGGGCTGGATGAAATCCACTCAGCAAGCACTCATGAATGTCAGAGAGTGTGCGTCAGAGGGAGCCAGGGGTGTGAAAACTACCCTTTGCCCCCAGGGCTTCTGGTCCATCCTTCCAGGATGCTGAGGCTCAGCCCCATTCACACTGCTCCACTGGAACCAACACCAACTTCAAGTTCTCAGGACCAGTGTTTACAGTGGCTCAAAATCTGCTTGTTGGGGGGGGAGGGGGGAGGGTCATGGACATTCTACACTAGAAGGGGTGCTATTCCACTTGCCCCGCCCCATATTCATTTGATCCTGCTGGGCCTCATTTTCTCAACAATTTTCTTCCTGAAAATCCCAGAGTTCTCCCAGAACTGTGGGCAGCAGGCTTGGGGTTAGGCCTGGGCCCCTCACCTTCATATCTGCAAGCAGCTGCATACCATCCCTGGGCCGATGGCACCCAATGGCCAGATTGCAGAAAGTCCGAAGATTGGGGACAATTCCCTTCTTTGCCAGGATTGGCAACAGTTCCTGTAGGACAGACATGCAACCATTACCTGACCCACAAGTTCCGGCCTATTGCTCTGATGTATCACTCTTCCGTATGCTAGAGACTTAGGACCACAACTCTATTCAGAGGCCCTGACTCCCTCAGCTGACTGTATGGCAATCCCGGTCTCAGCTCAGCACTCAAGACCTCATACCTCTCTGTCTCAAATGTCCTTCTTTTATCTCTCCTTCCTGCCGTCTGTCTCAAGCTCCTTGGCTGCCCATCCCTGCAATGGGCCAAGAAACCAGGAGCTGGTGATACAGGGGAGGAAGCAGCACTGACCAGTTATGGTATGAGAAAGAGAGCACCATTCAGCCTGGGAGGGACCCAGGGAAGGATTCCGCCATCTTGGCTTGTCCAGAGGAAGGTATGCCCTGGACTGTCACCAGTTCTCTGTCACCTCTGACTCTCAGATGCACAGACATTGCTTCTGTCAAAGCAAGCATCATACACAAACTGTGAGCCACATGGTGGCATGCATGCCTTTATGCCCAGCATTGGGGAGGCAGAGGCAGTCAGGTCTCTGTGAATTTGAGGCCAATCTGGTCTAGAAAGTGAGTTCCAGGGCTGCAGGGATGTTACACAGAAGAAACACTGTCTCAAAAAACCAGAAAATAAAAACAAAACCTGATTATGTAAGTGAACGAAACCCTTTAAGAAGCCTGGCTGTTGTCTCTGTGAGATGGAGAAAGCCACACAACCAGATAGTGCCTCCTGATCTGACCAGGACAGAAGCAGATAGACCTGAATATGGATGAGGAAGGTCAGAAGATTCTGGAGATATACTAGGGTGCCTCATGGCAATTCTTTCCTGGAGGGTGGGAGAGAGCTGGGGTCTGGTCCTGAGGCAGGGTCCCACTACAAAGCCTCAGCTAGTCTGGAGTTCACTATGTAAACTTGGAAATCCACCTACCTCTACCTCCCAAGTGTACCACCATACCCAGTCCCCCCTCCCTTTTTCTCTGTCCCTTGTTGTTTTGGGTCTTTTGTTTTTGTTTTTTAAGAAAAGGTAACAGGCTGGCATTGAACTTTCAATCTGACTTACCGGATTATTTTATGTCAACCTGATACAACCTGATAGGTAGGAATCTCAATAAGATTACCTACATATTATTATTAAGATTAATAATACCTACATAAGATGGGGCTGTAGGGGATTCTCTCATTCTCTCTCTCTCTCTCTCTCTCTCTCTCTCTCTCTCTCTCTCTCTCT